AAAGGCAAGATAAAACCAGATGGCGCAAAGTTCACATACCTTGTCTTCGGGTGGTAGAGAGCCTTTTATAACCACCTCGCGCACTCACTCCGAGGCTTCTATCAGGTCGGGTATGATTACTTCTGTGCTTCTGCTAATTCGGGTGTCATCACCTCTGCTGGGACAGAACCGCCACTGCTCCTTGTCATAGCCGTCTCTATAACTAGAGATGGCGGTGGCAGGTGGCAGTGGCAGGTGGCCGTTGGAATGCGGCTGTCAAGCGTCAGATCCCAAGTCAGTCAGGTGTGCCGCCCCTGGATACGGACTCCTTCGGTGTCAGGTACGGTTTGTTCAGTTCGGTGTCTCGGGGGCGAAGTGTTGGAGTGGTGTGCGAGGTGAAGTCTTGAGTTCGGACAGTGGTGTGGCACGAACTGCCATGGCGCAAGCCAGTTCGGGTTGTTGCCCTTTGTGTTCGTAAGGCTAGGGAGAGCTCGGACTCCTTGCGGGGAGTTTGGACCACTGGTTCCTCCTTTTGGAACTCACGCCTTAACGAACTATTGTGCCGAACTGTTGCCTTTATCACGTATTGAGTGGTTACGAGGTCGAGCCAAATCTTCCTTCATCAATTATGAAGACATTATGACGTTTTTGCAAGCAAAAGAACTCCAACTGGAGTATTCGCTACAATGTTGGATTGCCACCGCGATTCCGAACATAAAAAAAGTTGGGTTGGATTGTCACTATATGTGCCTACGTCTGAATGTGATTTTTTTTCTGGAGCACTTGCCCAATAGGCAATAGACATCTCCACATCTGGATTCATGAGAATTAAGTATTCAAGAACCAAAGTCCAAGACCCTTGCTAATTAGGCTCCTGGCCCATTTATTTCTGCCACATGAATCATGGGGCCCATCCAAAATTGTGCATAGGCTCCCAGCACCTTATACTGAAACTAGCGAGACACCCGTGTTATGTAAAGATTCATGATAGTATGTATAGATTTAGATGAATTAATTTAAATTTATTGAAAATTTTTGGCATAATAATTATTAAGAATAGTACTTTGAAATAATTTAAACTTTTATTGGATTCATAAGTTAATTGTTGATTTTAAAAAATAATTAAATTATGAAGAAAATTAGCCCTATACTTATATCTTTTATATTTTAGACAAATATAGCCCTAACTTAAAACTTCAAACTTCAAAGAACCTTACATTCCTAAATGTTACTGAAATTTCATCAACCGCTAGCCTGTAAAATATACCAATCCTTAACTTTAAAAGACCCTATTATCATCAATATTATAATGGACTCAAAGCCATCTCGATTCCTCTTGATTTCGCTCCTGTAAATCATAGCAACAAGCTGGCCTTCAACCAACCCTTTAACTGCTATAAGGTATAGCAACTATAGATCTTGAAACCACCCTTTATCCCTCATTTGTTGTCCATGTTATGCCATAAACCACTCTAAACTTTGCAAGTCTGAGTTGGGATTTCCTCCTTAAAATTTGTCCTAACATGCTTTTAACATGTATCACCATAAAACTAGGACCCACCATGTCTCAGATGTGCATACATAGCTAATGTTTTAACATTTTCTTGCTGGGAGCAAAAGCTGTCTCAGATGTGAACGTCAATAAAATTTTTAATATAAAATGAGAAATCTAATTTCTCTTGAACTTCCTTAATTACTTTCACTCTCTGTTTCTCTCTTATAACTTTTACCATAACCAATCACAACCAAAGGATTTTTTCCCCCACTTAGAAGGCATCCTAAGTCATTCTCTCTACTCCATTTTCAAGAAACCGGTAAATATACCCTTGCAAAAATGATGGATTTAGGGTTGTTTGGTTTATGATTTGAATTAGAATCGGAATCAGAATGGTCTATTCCTATATCAGACAAGAATGGGAATAAGAATTTAAATCAACATGAATGAAATTTCATTGGTTACAAATTAATCTAATCTTTAGTATTTACTTATAACTTCCTTCTTGAATATGACAAATTTGTCTTTTAAGTGGTTACATTTAACAATTTTAAGTGTACAAATAACATATGGGGTTATTTTAGTCACCCAAGCTAAAATTCATCACACATGCGAGAAGGGAGAGGCTAGAGGAGGTGTCAGCAATGCCGTAAGTCTTGCACGCAACTTGAAGCGTTGGCATCTACCCATACATTGGGATTTGGGAATGTCTCACACGTGTTAAATTCATGGGGAGTGAGTGCCAACGCTTTCAGGATGCATGTAGAGTTTTTATTGGGAGGAGATCCCATATCCATTTTACTGGGCGTTCTACAGCGTGGATTGTTTTTAGGAAACCATCTAGTTTAAAAATAAATTGTTTTTTCAAAACAAAAACATGTTCTTGTTTAAAAATTTGTTTTTAATATCGTGCTATATAAATCATATAATTTCTATATTACAAAAATTTGTTTTTGTTTAAAAATTATTATTTTAATGGTTTCAAAAACATTTAGTGGTTTTTTTAAACAAAACTAACTTGTTGGACACATTCATCTAGCCATGCATAAGGAATATCAGCAATATAAAGTAGAAGAGATATTCCTAATATACGAGTTGATCAGCAATGTGTTGTAGCCAGTATAGAATGCCCCCTAATCCCTTAATTATCCACAGTTTTCTTTGTTCAACATGCGACTGCAACTCGGTTTGGCTCTCTCCCAAACAGGAGTGACCAGCCCTCAACTTCAAGCTAGGGTTTTTGACAAACATCTTAAGACCTCTTCTTGGGCTTGGGTTGATTGATTTTGATCCATCCTCATCGGACTGAGCCACATTAGCCTGATCCAACATGTGCTAGCAACACCCAGCACAGGTGAAGTTGGGGCCGGGTCATGTACACTTGGATTCGACCTACATGTTGGATCAGGTTTTGGGTTGACTACTGATCTCTTCATGGTTCTGGGCCTTAGTAGCCCCCCACCTGACCCAACCTCCAGATTTCAATCTGCCCTTTATGAGATTGGAATTATAGGCTTACAACCAGAATAACTTGGAGCTGAGGCAATTAAGATTTAAGCCCCAGTGAAGCATCGCTTAAACCTCAATTTATTCCAGGAAGAGTAAAGCCTATCCATCAACATGTTCGGTCATATGTCAACCTGGAATTCTCGGGTAGCTTGATCTTCATGGATGAAACAAAAAGAGGCACATTCTCTAATTTGATTTAACCAGTCACTGTCCTACAATGCTCCAAGCCCAACAGAAGGAATTCAGAATTCTTCCTCTAGAGGCAACACTACTCAACACAAAAACAGTTCCAAATTCCGCTCAACCTTTTTTTCTTTTTTCTATATATACAGAACTAAGGCTAGCTCTAACATGTACTCCATCTTGCAAAGTTCAGACCTCAGACCAAAAAGCATCAGAAACCATGGCTGGCCCGGCGCCGGCGGCCCCAAGGAGCACGCAGAAAGCCCCATCAAGTCGGCCGGGACTCCTGCGAGCCAGTGCCATCACCATACTTGCCTTAATCATCCTGGCGGGCCTTGCCGTAATCATAATCTGGCTTGTGATCCGGCCAAGGCGATTAGAGTACACGATTGAAGATGGCTCCATCCATGGTTTCGACCTGAAGTATAACCATCTCAATGCTTCGTTCGACTTCGTCATCAGAGCCTACAATCCTAACAAGAAGGTCTCTGTGTACTATGACTCCGTGGAGGTGGACGTGTCCTACGATGACCAGACGCTGGCCATGGATGTGGTGGAGCCATTCTTCCAACCTCATCGTAATGTAACCCACTTCCAGGTGAAGCCCGTGGCTCGGTTGGTGCCACTACTGGGGTCGGTGTCTAGGGACCTCAGGCTCGAGAAATCATCGGGAGGGGTGGAGCTGGCGGTCCGAGTTAAGGCCAGAATTCGTTTCAAGGTTGGCATGTGGAAGTCCACAAAGCGCACCTTGAGGGTCACATGCTCACCCGTTGTGGTTCATTTGTCATCGTCTTCCAAGGTGTTCGACAGGGTCTACTGTGATATAGATCTTTAAGGTGGTTCAAATTTGTCTCGCTAGTCCATTTTTGGACCGGGCTTCTCTATATTTTTGGTTCATTGTTTGGTTGATTGAGGGCATGGCCAATGGGCTTTCATTTTTCTTTATTAGTTCTTTATATTTGTGTTTGTTTTTTAGGTCTGTTGTGGGGTTTTGCATCAGAAATTCAGAATTATAAAGGGCCTTCAGGGTCTGTTATACCTTGTACAAGCAGAGAGTCTTTGGGTTTGGTTTGGTTTGGACTAATTCCTATTCCTTCTTGCTTTAACTATAATAAAGCCCCTTGGTGTATAGGTTATTTGAAAGCATCATAACAAATGGGAAAAAAGTAAATTTGCCACGTGGCAATGTTGAAGCTAGGGGGTATAAACTTGCCAAGGGGCTTGTAACAACAACTCACAACCATTAGGCTGAGTTTGGAAGGAGTACAAATGAAAATATGTAAAGTGTAAAACCTTATACTTTGTATTATTTTGTATGTATTTATGTTGTCATGTTTGCATTTGTACTTTTTACAAATTGAGCCTTACACGCTGTATTTGGTTGCAATGCAAATACAAATATGTACATCATATATTTACCCATTTTTTGGTTCATGAATGCAAGCACGTTCACATTTTAAATCATTTTTGCATTCATTTTGTTTGTTTGAAATTGGTGCAAAAGTGTGGGTCCATCATTAAATGCTCCAACAATCTTATACTACCATGCATTAATTTTGATAAAAAAATTATTTATCAAAAGAATACAAAATTGTATAAAAAATAATATGTATAATAATACTCTTTTTTTCAGAAAATACATTTTTATTTTGATAATCATTATTTTTTTACGATTCTCAAACGCAAACCGAAATACATAAATACTCCAATTCGTCATTTATATCACAAATAAACAGAGCCTTAAGAAAGTGACACTGGATAATGGATATTGAACGAACAACCATTCTTCTGTCGTCTAATTGAAGACTTTCATTTTGAGATGAGATGACTGGGATGGGCAGGACAATCCGTGAGGTCGCCTAACATTGCCACGTAAAAATAAAATAAAAGAAAAGAAAAAAACAAAGTCATTGATCAACCGTTCCGTTGATTTTGGCCCATTTGCATTTAATTTTCTTTTAGAAGAGTTAGGTGAGTTCCATTTAGATAGACTTAATACTCGGTTGTAGTCAAGGTTGACGTCTAAATGCACGATAGGATCACAGAGAGAGAGAGAGAGAGTACTTTATCATAGGAGAGAAGCCCAAGCCCAAATCAATAAATGTTTAAATGAAATTCTAACCAGCTGCTAGAGTTGGGCCATTAATTTTGGGCTGAAACAACATCGAGGGAAGCCTTTTATTTGAGGTTCTTAATTTCAGACCTATCACTATTTTGTTCTGACTTCTGAATCATGTCTTCTGTTAATACAGTTCTTTTTGTGACCCCCAAGAAAAAAATAAATAAGAAAAATCAAATATATGCAATATTTTTTTTGAAGGTAAAATATATGCAATATTGAGCTTGGGAAGTAATAGTTGCAGCATAAAATGATTCTTGCAATTAAAATGGTTATGCTTGATTTGATAGAAAATAAGAGAGAAATAGAAAGTTGAGGGAAACTTTTGGGTGTGCAATTTGGGCGGGCCTAGCCCAAGTCAGGACCGACCCAACCCACAGTTTTACATGGGCTGAATTTGGATTTTTGGTCCTTGGGCTGGGCTTGGGCCCAAAAATTTTGGCCTTTTCATTTTTAGGCTGGGCCAGGGCCTAACCCTTATGGAGCTTGAACCTGACCCAACCTCATCTCAACCTGAACCTGCCCAGCTGGTCTAACTACATACATATATAAACACGTATTTATATACATGCTTGTTTGCATATATACATACATTATGTGCATATATACATACATACATTATTCATAAACATGATACATGTACTAGCCAGAACCTCTGCGATGCATGGGATTTTTTAAGTGAAATTATTGAAATAAAAGGAGTCCTATGATATTCTCAATTGAGCCAAGCCGATATAAGCCTAACCCAAGTAGGCAAGTATTGCTTTTTAGGTAATGTTTAGCTGATCTGATTGCAATCAAATTTGCACCCTTAATGCCCAATGTGAATGGTCAAATTTGTATGCTCTACTTTTTCTTAAATAATCTTAAAACTTTATTAATATAATTATTTTCAAATGTAATTCAATAGAACATTAAATTATTAAAAATTAATTTCTCAAATTAATATTTTTCCTATTTTATTAATTTATATTATTTTAAAATGAATTTAAATTATTATAAATTCTAGTAACACTAAATTTATTAATATTTTTCTTAATTTTTCTAAAATATAATATTTTATTAATTTCATTAATTTTATTAAATAATATTAATAAAGTTACTAACGCTGCAACTAAAAGTCTTTATGATGCTACAACTAAAAAGTCTTTATGGGAGCTATAAAAGCTGGATTCTTGCATAGGTTAATGGGAAGTAGGTTTCATGTTTCTTGGTGAAGGGGTTGATGATGGAAAACAATGCATACATGGGAAACAGTTTCTTGGTGAAAGGGTTGATGGAAAACAATGCATACATGGGAGACAAAAGGTCTATTGTCAATAAATAAGGGAATGTTTTAGATAGAAAAAGACAAAAAGCTAATGTGGATCAATAGGAGAGAGGAAGAAAAGTCATTAATTAGAAAATGAAAAGCTCTCTCTCTTTCTCTCTCTTAAAAGAGTACTCATTGCTCAACCAAGAGGTAAAAGATAGATGCCACTAGACCTGTTCATGGGCCGGCCCGGGCCGGGCTCAGGCCGGGCTTTTACTCTTCATGAATGGAAATTTGTTAGGCCCGAGCCCGAGCCTGGCCCGACCATCAGGCCTACAACTTGGGCCCAAGCCCAGCCCTGATAAAAAGCTCAAAGCCTGAGTTTGAGGTGACTGTAAGCTACGATTTCAATAGTGATCAATTCGCGTCAGAGAGAGAGAGAGAGAGAACTCACCGCCGCTGCCGGTGCCTATATTCGCCGACTCGCCGGTGACTGTAAGCTGAGTTCGCGGTGTTTGAGATTTGTAAGCTGCGATTTCAACAGTGATCAGTTCGCGTCTGAGAGAGAGAGAGAGAGAGAGAGAGTGAGTGAGAAGAGGAACAGTGAATGTTCGTCGCCTCACCGGTTGTGTGGCTGCCTGAGAGTGTGATGACTAAGGACTGAGGAGGATGTGAAGACTGAAGAGAAGAGAGGTTCGGCTGGAAAGAGGTGAAAGAGAAGAGGGGTTCAACTAGGGGTTTTTAACTTTAATCTATAGGTCGGGCTGTGCTATTTTGGCAAATTCCGAGCCCGACTCGAATTTATTGCGGGTTGGGCTTTTTGGCCCGGGGTTAAGCCCGCAGGCTCTTTTGCATGTTCAAACCCGTCTGGGGGCCGGGCCGGCCCGTTGGGCCACCCGGCCCATGAACAGGTCTAGATGCCTCATCAGATCATTGTGTTTTAATATATAGATATAAATGCATTCATGCATTTACATCGAATTTTAGTGTGACTTAATTGACCAACTGAACCTAGTCTAATTCGAGTGCATCAAATTTCAATTTGAGTTGAGCCCAAGTTGAACAGATTAGGTCTAAACTTGAACTTGATCAAGGCTTTGGGCTTAAACCCAATTCTTAAGGTTGGCCCTGGGTTGAACTTAAACCTGGCTCAACCCACTCGACTTACACCCCTAAAACGTTTTTAACAAAATATCACTAAGTATGAGTTTGGAACTATGGATATTTATTGACTAAACGTTTTGTATTTGATTTGTTTGGAAAACTGAGAAAAGCAATGATGAGCCTGTTTATTGACAATTATGCATCGAGAAAAATAATAATAAACCCGTTTATTGACAATTTAACACCACATCAGTAAAACAATGAATAAACACTTACCAACAAGTGCTAAAATAAATCTTCTCCCAACGATAATCATGCACATAAACTGAAATCTACTTTTACAAGTCGCTATCCAAACACCCTCTAAATGACGCAGTGTTCAGCTGTCTCACCCTCCAGCCTCGTCAATCATTTATTCAAAGGGATGCCAGGCTTGCCAGCTACTGAATGAAGGGCTTACTTTGGTCATGTAGCACAGTTGCAGCTGATTACATTAGGCTTTTTCTCCTTGGAGGTAGGTAGTTGATTAGATTAGGTAATTAGGGTGAAAGTGAGGGGTGGTACACTGAGATATGGATACTCTGATGTGTCCATCTCTGAAGGAGCATGTGAGATGGATAAGATTGGTTGATGGACGGATTAAACAGGTACTTGGGACATAGGACCAATGCAGTGGCAGAGTATGGGCAATTCGAGTCTCGAGGAGGCTTGCAAGCAACTTGCGACTAGCAGCATCACATGGCCTTGAGCTGCTTATTCCGGGAACTGGGAACTAGTGACTCCTCCTTTCTTATTTCTTATTTCTTATCTAAATCCCTGTAGAATTTTGGAAGCTTGTTTTTGATAATCCACTTCCACTAATCTAATAAGTGAGCATGTCCATAGACCAGAGGGGCTAAGGCAGTGGCTCAGCTCATACCCTAATAAAGTTAGCCTAATCTAGGGACAAGATTGAAGCTGGCCTTGGTTTCCAGTCCAAAAGTCCATTAAAAAAGTACCATATTCCTCTTAGGCCCCATTTACTTTTAAGTTATTTATACTTATCCAGTTAAGTTATTTTTACTCAGGTGAAAAATTATTTATTTACATAGAATGACCTAAGAAAATAAAATTTCTTTGGCTTTATATAAATCTAAAAAAGAACATGAGGTTTTTGATAAATGGATATCAAAATCCTATTGATCAATTTTTCCTCTCTTAAAATCCAAAAATAGAATGTCGTCTTAGGTGGTGTTTAATTGCACTTTTCAGACGTCTGAATCTGAAAAGGTTGTTTTTCAAATGCCACCTTCGTTTGGTATGCCCTCTTATTATTGATATGAAATCCAATTTCAGATCTTAATTCATAAGAGGTGGGGTGGGTTCTTAATGCGCTCAAATGTAATTCAAAGGTTTGTAAAAGACATTAGTATCCTCAAAGAAATTTTAATGACATGGTTTGTCCCTCATATAACTCGAAAATTAGGTCATTCAAACCCTCT